CTACATAATACGAAACATTACATTTCCATACATACAGTCAATAAAAATAATTGAGGACAAAAATATACATAAAATACTGCTCAGCTTTTTAGCTTATATATAAACTATACGACCATTCCAATCGCTTATACCTTAAGCCATATGCTAAACCGCTTAAAGCTCTAACATAGACGGATTGCTATACATTACGATCTCACATCTTAATTCTCGTGGGGCAATTAACGCCGCGTTTAATTAGCAGTCTCGGGACAATAGCCCAACATTCGTCTTAATATTACGGCCTGTAGTGGACCGTAATAGCGAGAATTTGTAACAGGTTTCATAATTGTACTTTCGTTGACTGCTATGACCACCAAGCTAACTAAGAATCACGTCAAAGGAAAGCGTCAATGGATTTACTTCAAGAAAAATCTTCATTACATACATAATAAAAAAGATGTTCAGTTAAATGAGAAAGTGCCCTAGCCCCCTAGGATTCCCTGTGTCGTGGGTAGCTTGTTTTTAGGTACTGGTAATAATAAAATCTACATAATTAGTTAAACCCCTGCAGAGAAAAAGATTGTGTAGAGACTGGGTTGTCTTAAACCCAAAAAACGGACCTAACGTAATCCAAACAATGGGGGGTACCACTAACCAATCTAGATATAAAAAAACCTAATCAATTCTATTTTTATTATTAATAGACATGTGGAGGAAGAAAGTCGTGGTACGTCTACTTAAATTGGAGTCCTCAACCAGTTTAACCGGTGACTATCTTAAAAGCTCCAGCATAAGGTCGACTTGTATATATCCTTAGTGGGATTTTTTTTATGGAACAGGAGGCAAACGGTAAGAAGGCTCACCTGATGTTAAGTGATACTACCCATGGTCACTGTCAATGCCAGAAGGCTTTTAAGAATTAGTACGCTCTTTTCTTGAAGTACCCTAAGTCGAATAACATCGTTAGCGCGTTCCAGGGTTAGACGTCATCGCAGTGATGTCAAGTGTCCAATTGTCGCTACCCACATTTTATTATTAAAATATTGAGGGTAGGCAATAAAGATGTAAAAATAATATTCCAGATAATAGTCCTAGTGATTAGTTAACAAGCCTAGACTAAGCTTACTCGTGCCTAATCAAGGTCAACATCTGCAGCTCTTGCAGGTGTGTTAACTGTTTAAAGGTTTCTATTCACAGCTGTCGTCTGCATTAGATAAACGTGTTTTGATTATTCATTTGGAATTGTATTTATTATCATATTTTTACAATGTTAGTATGTTTATTCGTGAGTATCATTATTTTTATAGGGTGATGAGTGTGGGAGGATATAGTCTTGACTTAATATCCTATAACACCTAAATGGGGCAGAGAGAGGAGGCATGGGGGAGAGGGTTCTCATTGAGTATCGCGTTGGGTCTTGACCCTCGTATTTCACCTCGCTCCAAGTCTTTCCTGTCTCTCTTTGCCTCATCTGCTGTTCGATTCCAGTTTTCTAGGGACGGCCACACTTTCGCTTTCCTTGCCGGTTCCAATCAAGCACCTACTTGGGGATATAATTGGAGTCTCTTCGGAGTGTATCCATTTCCACTTGCATCGCTTGACCTGCTGGCTTACTGGCAGGGTTTCTCGACAGTGCGCCCAAAGTTGCGTTAGAGATCTTCTCGGGTTTTTACAGAATTCGGTGAAGACAGCGGTTGACGAAGACTTGGAGCCGGTGCGAGACGTCACAAGTGACCTTCCACTTCACACATATATAATATTTCCTATTATTATCTCAGTTTACGTTGTTTAATTATCTGACAATCATTAAACATACATATATATGTACTTAAGAAAGAATAGCACTAACTATTCAATAGCTATGTGGCATTATTGAGCTGTCTTAATATAAGCGATTTGATGAGTGACAGAGAGTTTATTACCAGTCCTTCTATTCCGTTCTACGTCCTTGATTTGAGAACGTACAGTAAATGTAAATTTAGAAGCATTAATTGTTACTGACCTTCATAAGTGTACCTGCATGAATCTTATACAAAAATACACAAAACAATGTATTCCCTAGTAACAAAACATCCGTCAATATCAGCTAATTAGTCTAACGATAATTTCAATGTAAATATTGACTTAGAATCACGATTGACACCACCTCAACCTTTTATCATATTATCGCCTCTATTATTACATCTGCATCTTACTTTATTGTACAAACGACTATTGTAACCTGAGCCCTGACAGTGTTATTTCCTCTCCTGATTTACGATTAATAGATGGTTATACCAGATAGTGAGGGGTCATCTTAAATCGGTGGTGCTAAGTGTAGTTTCTCTATTATAATAAACAAAGATTAGAAACGGTCTCGCAAATTCTTTAGCGTTTTTGCTATTTGAAAGTTGAAAAGAATATGTTATAAATTATCACTTTTGCCTATTAATTAAATTAGATAAATTACAATCATTACCGGACGTAAAGTTTGGTCATGTAAAGATTACTCAATGCGTTATACGTTTGCTGTTACGTAAACAGATATTTTTTAAGCCTTCGTGTTAAACATTTATAAGAATAATGAGACAGGTATGTTTTTGAATGCCCTAAGAGAATTTAACATTCGCTCGAACGGTGAAGGAAAACATCGTGAGGAAACCGACATGTCTTAGACCCAAAAAGTCGACGGCCGCGGCGTGTGTCAGGCACAGGACGCTGATCACCTACTTGCCTATTAGATTGAAAAAAAATTATCATGAAACAGACTTAGAAATCTGAGTCCCAGACCTGAAGAGGTTATAGTGCCAATTATTTATTTATTTAAGGTCGTGAAAATATTAGTATGAGTGTATGAAAAATGATTTTATCTTGGTCTCTCCAAGATAAAGTCATTTTCAGTCACTACTTGTATATATTCGTACTTCGAATAGAATAACGAAGTTTACACAATAAGATATTTGAAATAATATTAATTGTCTGGCAGTTAAACTATTTACTCTATACAGTTTAAAGCAGTGTTGGCCTAGTGGCTTGTGTGCGAGTCGAAGGTTCGATCCACGGCGTGAGAAAACCGATATGCCTTAGACAAAAAAATCTATCTTCTACTTGCCTATTCAAAAATGATCACGGAACAGATACAAAAATCTGAGGCCAAACCTTCAAGGTTGTAAAGTTTTTTGAATTGCTCTCTGTTTTGACGACTCTAGGTATACGATATGTCGATGTTTTCACTGTGTTAATTGCACTCAAAGAAAAGTAATTGTAGTACACAGATTCGAACCACCCTAAAGTTGAGAATTGGCCTTAACCGCCGGACATTTATAAATACGGCTTTAAACGGTGGTCCACTCAACATTGTTTTTAATGAGCTATAAGCTAACCAATTAAACAGTACTATGTTTCTTTATTTTAGTGTCAGAAACAGTAAAACAGCAATTAAAACACAAATAAACCAGTTCCTTGAACTGACGACATTTACGTAAATTATGATTTGCTAGATAATGCTTAATTGTTCTTTGTTTGTGTGGACCTTTAAGAATATTTTATATTCTTCAAGATTATATAAATTCGTGAATTTTACTTTAGCACTTAAAATTTTGGTTTGTTATTTCATTTCATGCAATAAAGGTTTAAAAACTTTTCTCATCCATCCTTTCCCTTACATCCAATTTCGTTACTGTGTAGTACTTTTCTTAACAATTTATAAATTGTTAATCTATGGTTAGAGATCATTCAGGGTTGTGAGTTAAGATATTAGTTCCTTATTCTAAAAATTTGTGACCTTTAAATTGAAGGCCGGTTAAATTTCGCTAAAACATTAGAAATTAAGATAAGAGAAAACAACATTGATTTATCGTCAATGACATTATAATATTGTAATAATTATTTCCGCGTCGTCTGATTATCATTAACAAAACATTCTTAATGAATTACATCGGAAACTGCCAATAATAATAATCTGTGTGATTTGTTATCCATTTATGGGTATTGTTCCTTTTGAATTTACTGTTGAGATGTACAAAAGACTAAACATTCAAAAGGAAAATGTTTTTGGTATAATGCTTAGTGTCTATTACATAAAAACATTTTATATCATTTGTTTTAACGGTAACCGGCCGTTTGCTTCATATGTATCAGCTGTTTTAAGCACTTAATAATAAAATACCAATACCTATGTATTGTGATATAGGACGTCTCAACAGATTATGTACAAAAGACTAAACACTCAAAAGGAAAATGTTTTTGGTATAATGCTTAGTGTCTATTGCATAAAAACATTTTATATCATTTGTTTTAACGGTAACCGGCCGTTTGCTTTATATGTATCAGCTGTTTTAAGCACTTAATAATAAAATACCAATACCTATGTATTGTGATATAGGACGTCTCAACAGATTACGTACAAAAGACTAAACATTCAAAAGGAAAATGTTTTTGGTATAATGCTTAGTGTCTATTGCATAAAAACATTTTATATCATTTGTTTTAACGGTAACCGGCCGTTTGCTTCATATGTATCAGCTGTTTTAAGCACTTAATAATAAAATACCAATACCTATGTATTGTGATATAGGACGTCTCAACAGATTATGTACAAAAGACTAAACACTCAAAAGGAAAATGTTTTTGGTATAATGCTTAGTGTCTATTGCATAAAAACATTTTATATCATTTGTTTTAACGGTAACCGGCCGTTTGCTTCATATGTATCAGCTGTTTTAAGCACTTAATAATAAAATACCAATACCTATGTATTGTGATATAGGACGTCTCAACAGATTATGTACAAAAGACTAAACATTCAAAAGGAAAATGTTTTTGGTATAATGCTTGTATAAAAACATTTTAATATAATTCGTATTAAAAACGATAGCTGGACGTTTCCTTCTAATGTATCTGTTATAAAAACTTAATCATAATATACCAACAAATAGTTAATGAAGAATATCAAAATCTGTTTCGTTTATTATGTCTTGTTAAAATTAATATGTACCTACAAAATGTATTTAAGAAGCTATGAAAACAAAAAATGTAAGTACTCACTTGTTCTGTTTAATGGGCGTAGTCGACGGCGTAGGCCTCTTCTCCTCTTTAATCGTGCTATTATTCATTTTCGACGTTAATCTCTTTAGAACATCATCCATCGACCGCTTATGCGGTGCAGCCAGTGACAACGCACTATTGTGATTCAGCAATGAATTGTTATTATTACATAGACCTATAACTTTCGCCTCCGCGCCGGGGCTACTGCATTCTGAGGAGCCTCGTCTTCTCGCTTGAAGATCGTTGACTTGGTGCAGACTTAAGAATGAAGAAGGGACTAGAAGGTTATTTGTCATGTCGGTTTCGAATCGTTGTTTCTTACTAGGGTTTTCGTCTTCGTAAGTGGGTGTTTCCTCTTCGCTGATTGAAGTACGAGGTGAGGAGCTCGGGGAGAACTTGTAGTATGTTGGATGTTCGTCGTCCGTGTCTTGGTGATCGGAGAAGTCCAGGTTTGCGGGACCGGGTTCCGGCTTGCTAGCGTCGACAGCACCTTCTTGCAATTTCGACGGTGGCGACTTTCGTTTAGATGACATGTTTCTGCAAAGAAATACAATTACTATTAATAATTTATTAAAGTATACCTTTGTGGTATAAGGCATTCCCTACAGAATAACCTATCTTTTCGAAGTTAGGTACATGACGTTTATTGTGGACACAAATTTTCTTCTCTTCAGTTCTTACTAGTAAATTCCAATTTAATATACTTATTTGTCTAAATATGCGGATTAGATACCCGACAGGCGCTAAACAACGTTTTTTTTTAAATTGTTCAGCTTACTGTGACACTCACCGATTATATTTGATGCATCATCTTTGTGTATGGCTAACAAAAGCTGCTGCTTAATGCAGTTCCCGAAGGTATATATCTCATTTTGGTCTAAGTCTGAAGTGAGGTATTCTTGATGTGATATCCCCAAACAACTACGAAATCAACAGTAATACTCGTACCGAAAATCGAGAATCTCAAGACCAAGAAACGGTATCTAATTCTACCTTTAGTTAAGGCGAGAGGCAATCAGTACAATTAGTCGGGCCCAATTAGTAGCCGGCCGGTTTGACGCGTCCTAAACTAAAACCTGAGATCAGATATTTGTGTTTGACACACTGCCCACCGAGTTAACGATCACTAATTGCTATTCACTTGATAACGCGCAGTGGCTGCTGAATTTTAACTTCCGCTGTTTGTTGACAAGTGCGAGTCGAGCGTTTAGTGTGGGAATCATATGGGTAGCGGTTCGTTCGTAGGATTCAGGATTTGTTTATTAGTTACAGATTCACATATATATTATATATATATTAAAAAAGAACTTAGACAATATACAAAGCCAAATCAGATTAAATTGTTAAACGAAATAAAAACATAAGTCAATTACGACCTACATGAATAGATAAAAAATGAAAACTCAAATTAAACATTTAACAAACGACAACTTATTAAAACCCGAAACATTCGGCGAAGTACGCAGATAATCCGAGTTTGTACAAACCACATGGAATTGTAAATATCTTGTCCTATACGGGGAAGGGAATCTTATGGAGAAAATTATGCAAATGTATCTATTTTATAGTAGAGTTCGTATAAAACATAAGATTCCACTCAATAATGACGATAGTCAAACTGGTGCAAATGTGAAAAACAAATGAAAAATATATTATAAAAAATACAATCCTGTCCTAACAGGTGTCCCTAAATTAACAAAAATGTATAACCAATGAAAAAAATGTTATAGGAACACGAAATAATAAACAAACATAAGAAATTTATTAGGAAAAAATTAAAGTGTGTGCGTACAAAGTACACATGTCAGAAGTGAAACTTTTTGGCAAACCAATTTTTAAGTCTTGTCTATATTTATACAAATCTAAAACTTTAGATTTCAGAGACTTAGAGGGAGGGAAAAAGGAACATATGTTAGGAATTTAATGATCTTTAAAATATTAAGTGTCGAAAATTAATACAAATGATATTTTTTTTTTTAATTTATTTCTTCGATTTTAAAAACACGTGTCATTTTTAATTTACAATTCATCATTTGAGATTTCATGCGCCTAAAGAAGTTTCACTTAAAAAAAATTAACTAACTACTATACGCTATATACTACAAATAATAATAACCCTTGTCAGTTTACTCAACGGATAATGAAATATGTTCATAGGATATAATATCTCAGGGTGTGCAAAACCAGCAGGTCCAACAGTAAATTTCGAATTCCCAAGTAAGCACACAATCTGAAGACGTAACAACAAACTTAATTAACGAAACAGCTCAAACAAAACTTCAAAGCAGTCGCTGACAAGGAGCCGTATTGACACAAGCAATCGCCAAGTTTGAGACCCTACAGACGACCAATCAAACGATTTCCACGACTCGATATACCTTCCTAATTCACCGTCTAACGTTTTAATTAGATAGAATATGTACGTATATCTTACTTAAACACATTTTTCTTGGTAAATATATAACAGGGAGACATCCGAATTCAATGAAATGCTTGTGCGTTATAATGTTCAAACCTCGGTTTTAAATTATTGTATGCAATTACACGTCAAGGAACTTAAAAGGAATGTTAGAAAACTAACGAAATGCACGTCGCCAGCACATGCTACCTAATTTAAGTGTTCGAGGCTCATTCTGGTGTCATTAATGCCCTTTCAAATTAATTAAACACTATTTATTAATATCATGTCTTTTAGCCGAAAATTTTACACATATACTTCATAAGCAGCGGTGTTGGCCTAGTGGCTCTAGCGTGCGACTCTAATCCCTGACGCTTAGATCCTGTAGGTTCAATCCCGGTTGTGCACTAATGGACTTTCTTTCTATGTGCACATTTAACATTCGCTCGAACGGTGAAGGAAAACATCGTGAGAAAACCGGCATGCTTTGACTCAAAAAGTGCGGGCGTGTGTCAGGCACAGGAGGCTGATCACCTACTTGTCTATTAGATTGACAAATCATCATGAATGTACAGAAATCTGAGGCCCAGACCTGAAAAGGTTTTAGCGCCACTGATTTATTTTACACATCATTTGTATTAGGATATAAAAATTTCAAACTAGCAAGGAAATGCACACAGGCAATCCGTAAAAACTAAATAAAAAACTCATTAAGAGGGTAATAAAGAAAATTACGGTCAGTTGGAAGTGTGTTGTGAAATACTTCAATAAACAAGGTCATTTATGAAAAATATAGAAAAGATAAAGGACAAAACAAATTGTTAAACGTCATTGGGAAGAAATAGAATAACCCTCAATAAAATCGATGAAAAATGCAGCCTACTTCAATGCAGACACTAACACAATTTCTTGTGTCACTGTGCTAAGGGGACTTTATTATATTAAGGTGCCGTTATGCCAGCGTAAAAGCCTTTGAAAATACGTAAACAAGCGTATTTGTACTATATTATTTTTTTATTATAGTATTTTTTTTAGACTATATACAAAGACAAATCAGATTACATTGATAAAATAATAAAAAAATAAAACTGAATAGATAAAAAAACTGAAATTAATTATTAAAACAACTTCTTAATATTTTAAAGAATAAATTAAATTTTTACCACTGTATAAAGTCAAAGTGTTCCCACTTCCCAAAATATTTGCTCACACCCAAGCAATTTTTATATAGCTAAGTAAGTGATCAGCCTGTGACACACGCCATCGCTTTCCTTAGATATGATTTTGCTTATGAAGTTTCCCAATGTTGTGTGTGTATTAATTGTGGTTATAGATATATAGGTGTAGCATAGTGGGAATCCAAAGGTAGAACCTCTTAGTCGAACAGCTAAGCCACTAACTGCTTAATTATAGACCAAATTAAAGTCACAAATTTGAAGAAGAATGGACCCGGTAATCCTGGGTTCGGTTTAACGAAAGAATATTGGATTAAAATGACGACCTTAAAATTGATTATGTAATAGACGGTTTGGTCAAACCGTCCAATGCACAAAGCTTTTTATAAGCGTAATATGTATGCAATTAATATTAGTTATTAAGGAAAATTCCGTGAACGTCAATTACCTCAAATGTAACTCAATATTAATCTGCACTTGACAATAATAGTCGCGTCAAAATGGAATTACTTTTACAATTGTGTTTCAACCCTCACTAGTTCTCTTAAACACCAGCTGACAGCCAATTTATTATGAGCCATGTAAATATTATTGTTAGTTAGAAATGGTATGCCAAGGTATATTTGTCGGTTGTAACTATTAATTTCCTTTCTATTACACACAATAACACGGAGGAACAATGTGCTTTTAGGCGGGAAATTGTGTCTATGGAAATTATTCGATAGTTTTTTTATTTCGAAATAAGTTTCATAAAGTGCAAGTAATTATTTTGAAAATGGAACAATCAGTCAGTTCCAAATTTGAAAATAATGAGCACAAAGACTATGATATATTTGAAATTTAAACGAAATGATTTTTTATTTGCAAAGAAGACACTTGCATATATATTTATTCATATTGGCCAGTTAAACTGCGAATTAATATCACAATATTTTTTCTACTTATAGCTCCCTGGGTTATACGCTAATATAAGACAAAAATAAAAGGGTCACAGCTGACACAACGGGAGACGAAAAATACAATCAATGTGAAATTGCTTCTTGAATATAAATTGAACGAACATATTGCGCATTTAGTTTAAAATAATTAATAATAAAGCTACGCGGATGACAATACTTAAAAGAGCCTTCATAAAAGCCGGCAACACACTCGTCTTCAGTGACAAATTCAGGTATGAAATTCCTTCTTGAATGTATAAAAGTTTAACGAAAATATTGCGCATTTCGTTTAAAATAATGAGTAATAAATGTGCGCGAATATCAATTTATAAAAGAGTATTCTTCAAATCAGACCTGCTGTCTTATTAAAACTGAAATTCGGTGACAAATTCAGATTAAAGATTCCACTAAAATGTCTAAATCATCTTCTCTCTTGACCTAATAAATGAATATTAATCGACCAATTAACCTGTTATTAATTTATATGATACAAACATCCGTTCGCAAACTGTACTGGACTTTCCATAAATCTATTAGTTGAAGGAAATTGCCAACGCCTCGTCTTAAATGGACTACTTGTAAGGAAGCAGCCAAATGCAACGAATCAGAATATACATACAGCTTAGATCCAAAGGAAATTAAACGATTCCATTACTATGACTTCAAGAATGGAGCGAAACGTTCCCTCAAAAATTGGCAACACATTTGCAATTCGTTCGTTTAGCACTGTATTCAAAGTGATAAATCTGTTTGCCTCCTGTACCATAAAAACTATGAAACGTATAGAGTTTTTGTTATCATAGTTATGTGATAATCTTAAGGTTTCTTTAGTATACAACTAAGCGCGTAAAACTAAGTAAGTAAAAAAACTTTTAAAAAACTGTTTTCAGTATCTATTCTTAAATTATATCAGACTGATCAATCATGAGACAGAGCACTGTTGGCCTTGTGGCCTCAGCGTGCGACTCTCATCCCTGAGCTCGTAGTGTCGATTCCCGGCTGTGCACCAATGGACATTCGAA